TAATTGGTCGTTTATTTCTTCAAATCGATATAAAATATCAGGACATGACAACAGAGAACATTTCCTCACAATTATGGACGGTGGTAACATGCGAAACGCGGACTCTGTCGTTCCTCACGTTGTCACAGAAACCGATAACCTGTTCGTTCTTGAGCACATTGTACGTCGTAACGTCTCAATCACTTGACGAGCTCCATAAGAACTTATGAAACAGCTGCGTACTGCCATTATGTGGTGAGGGATTCTCATTTACATAGAGATCGGAAGCCGTATATTAGATTCGCATGTTGGAGAAATGGTCGTAGAACATCTAGAGGTTCTTCACAGCGGAGTAGACGAACGAGGTAATTTAATTAGTGTTATTATAAATTTTCATTAAGGATTACTGTGAACGCCCACAATTTGATTTAAATTATTTTGTTCCGATTCCTTATTTCCATAGCAAAGGTCAAGTGATCAAACCATCAAAATCCATTTAAGATGAATAGTCATTATGTGATTAGCACCTACGTATTCGTAAACGCTTTTTAAGCATTGTCAAATATACGGTTTAAGTAAACGATTTCGTATAGGAAATGTCATCTAATGAACACTAATCTGTCTAACAATAGTACATGCAAAACTTATTCAGAATGTTTCAGTGTTTTGTCATAAAGTTAGTTACTATAGGCGAATGTAGTACTACCAGTTTACTAGTACAACGACATCATTTCTATAGGAAAGGTCAACTGAACCAACATCGATGAATTCTAACTAAGCCTTAGTGGTTAAGCAATATAATCAATTGAGATTTATAGAAATTTCGTGGATTAGATCATTAGAAGAGAATTTTGGAAAAAACTTATAACTGGTTTTAATAGTTGATGATAGTAATAACTGACGTTGATAGGTGGTCAAATGTTTAATACACAATTAGTAAAGAAATTATTCATCGAAGTATTTCCATTAGTTTTTTCTTAACACATCGTATGTTATTTTAATAAACGTTATATGCGTAGCAACATATCCATAAATCATTATGATAGAATAATGAATAGGGCATGCATAAATCACGCTAACCGTTAACGATCGGTAAATGAAGCAAAATAGTAATAACTTCTCTCAGAAAATAGCAAATAATATTTATGATTGGGTACTTTTCCAAACAGTAATTCTTAGTAGAAAAGAATTGTTTGGTTTTACCTGAATAATGGTGTCATAAATAAATGCAAGATTGTCAATTGAGTTATTTTGCTAATCCATTAAAAGCGTTATTTGCTTTTACCTGTACATTCTTTGCAGTTGAGCATTTTAAAATTACGACAAAAAGTACTTGTCTATGTAAGTAGTCATGTGAATAGTTAGTTGTGCTCGTCAATTGGGCTTAACAAATTTTGCACGTAATGTCAACAGCATATTTGCAGTTTAAAGAAATCTCCATAGAATATTCTATGGCCGTGCAGTAAATGTTTACCTAATTTTTAAACGATTATGAATAGACAGATAGGTAACAGTACAGACGTTAAGTATGTCTGATGAAATTTCTTAATGTATACACATATAAAACACTACATTGTCTGTTAGAATTGTATTTACCTTAAAGTTATTGAAAAATGCTATTATTATTATTATTATTATTATTATTATTATTATTATTATTATTATTATTATTATTATTATTATTACTATATAACTAACCGATGAGTTGATAAATCAAGCAATGAACTTTACTTTTCAGAATTGATTAATTAAATTGTTAAACTGAAATTGTTGTTTGCATCAAGCACTTTTTAAACAAATAGAGGCAACGGGGGTAAGTGGTGTTTGAATTAGATACATTTTAACATTACAACAGATTCATAAACGGAATTTGTACACGGCGTGTACAGTGATAAACTAAAGAATATGAAAATATGGGATTCTAAAAACGAATGAATTAAAAGTATGAGTATAAATCTTAGTTCACAAATGACAAATTGCCTATTGTATCAATGTTTTTTTTTCTTCAACGGACTACACGTAGATGTACATTCGATTGTTCGCTTGACTTGATGAGATTAATGTGGTTAAGTGATGACCACATGTAAGGCCAGGATTTTTTGATGCGGTATTCACTCAAATAAACAGATATCAGAAAACTGGATGACTCGTAAAAATGTGGGTCATTTACTTTACGATATTATATAATCATACACGAATTTTTTAGAATTAAACTCAGATAAAGGTTAACAATGGAATCCAGGATGTGTGTGTTTCAACGTATTTAGGATTTGTCAGTCGGCTGCACTTGCATCCTAGTTTTGAAGTTCACACTTGGATTCAAACCTAATATCTTTTGTCACTGAGTCTTAATAACTATAAGCTTCTGCAACTGGTGTGAATTTACACTGAATTTACAATGCACTTTACACAAACTAAACATGATTGATATTTAAAATTTTATTGATTGGCAGATTAAGTTTTCGTAGGTCATTAACTACCCTAGGAAAATTGAGATCTGATTATTAGATTTACTGATTGCCTATTATATAAGCATCTCGTCAGTCAGTCAGCTACAACGTAGGACCAGGCACATATATGCATCGTTCCAAGTTGCCGTACCTCATTAACACAACAAGATGAACACCGGATTCATAAAAGTAGTTAATTCAGAGGTGGTAATATATAAAAGAAAGATTGCAATAGGAATATAGTACAGGAAGAAAGAATTAGTTCGTAGAAATGAAGATATAAAACAATTTTAATCTCTCGGTTTAAGAGAAGACAAAGAGTGTATACACCAACGCTATTGTGGTCGATTCTGAGCCATGTCGCCAAGAGTCTCCAAACATTGGTTACGATAGTCACGCGGACCCCAACCAAGTAGTCTGCATCTATCAACACAGCTCACACCAGAGGTTAGTGACTTCGAGCACTGATGCCACGTTTTGGTTTGGCAGCTCCTAACTTGCCTCCAACCATCTCTAACACTAGTCAGCATTGCGCGTCGTAGTAATCGGCGTTCAGACATACGTAAAATATAGCCCAACCATCTCAGTCGATGAAGATTTATAACCTCATCAACTGATTTACCATCATTCCCTAATACCCTGCGTCTAACCTCACTATTACTTAAGCAGTAATCCCAGCAGACTCCAGCAATATTTCTAAGGCATCTGTGGTCAAATACTAGTAGCTTATGAGTGTCTTGTACTCTTAATGACCATGTTTCGCTGCCGTAAATTAAAACAGAACGGACTGCCGCGCAGTATTCTCGTCCTTTTATTGATAGACGAATATCTCGCCTCCACCATAGGTGACGTAAGTTGGCAAAAGCCAAGCGAGCTTTTCGAATCCGTGATGAGATTTCGTCAGACATAAACCCATTAGGGCTGATCGGACTTCCAAGATAAGTTTTCAACGCGTTCGACTACTTCACTCCCTATCCTTAGTTCAGGTGTAGACGCAGACTAGTCCTGAAGCAACAACTTGTATATCAGCATCTATAACAATTTGATAAATAGAGAAGTCCGATAGAAAGAATGAGTGACGTTTAAGAGAATAAATAAGTATATGCAAAAGAAACAAGCAATATTCTATGGGCGACAAACTGAAACAGTTATTGTAGCGTCAACAATATATATATATATATATATATATATATGATTCATAAATTCCTTCATGAATATACGTTCACCAAAATCATGTGAACAAATAGTTCACTAATTTAGTTAACGAAGTACAAATTTTTGGAAATATTTTTGAGATACTCTTTAATTAAAACAGCCAGTGATGGACAAATCACATTTATTTAGCTGAATAAATCGAGGCAGGTAGAGTGGAGGTTTTGAATTTGCAACTATATGACGGGTTTAAACAAATACTAAGCTATTTTTGTTTCAGACTAAACAACTACTTTTTAAGTGTACAGGCAAAATCCGAAATCCTTTTATTATTAATGTATTTATATTTCTACTATGAGATAGTTTGCAATTCTTCCCAATTATGAACGACTGGAAGATGTTACTTAAGATGAGAGGTAAAAACGCATTTTGAAGAGATGACAAGTAATCTGTCCACAACAGTTCAACAATAATAATTATTATAATGCTCTATGAGGCTAAAGAAAGGAGAAAGAAACTCATTAAAAGCTAAATATTTCAAAAAGTTGAATCTGTAACATAGCAACTGCTTAAATAGCAACAAATATAACCTTATAAAATATAACGAAAATAGTATGCTAAAAGTTAAGGTAGCCAATCAGATGACAGCTAAGTCCATTGAGGTACTATGAATTGAAAAAAGTTGATAAATTTTTTTTGTAAATCAGAACAACCATTTCTTAAGGAGAGTAATAAAAAATTAGGTCTTATTATTCTTAGTGATCTACTCAAAACACTCGGGGAACCATCAAATTTTCCAATTATGTAAATATTGTTATCGAATTATTTTGTCCCAAAATTATTTTATTTAATTATCTAAGTAAACTTATCACATTTTTATATCAATGATAAACCTTAAAAAGAGGTTGACCAGTAACTATAAAAATGTGGCAATTACGAGTGACAATGTAAAAGCTATTCCGTTGGAGGAGTAAAAAGCGTAAAATAATTTAAGTGAAGATAGGAAGTAAATGCACTTCTGACATTGCTAGCGATTTTCTGAGCTACGTAATTCAACGTCCTAAACCATTGGTTACGACAATCCCGAAGATCTCAGACTAAGTAGTCAGCATATACTTAAAGGATCCGTTCGACAGTCACTGATTTTATCGACTGATGTCAAATCTAACCTTAGTTTTTCTAATCCAACGTTCCCTACAAACAAGGGGAAATCAAATGCTATTTGTAAATGACAGCAAATTAATTATAAACCTTTTATTTAGCACAAAGCGATTTAATATATTCTACACGTATTCTCCTTTATAGTATTAATTAACAATGAGTATATGCACTGTTGTGAAATAGCAGATTAACAATTAAACATCACAATTTATAGTATAAAAAGACGAGAGAATATCAGGGATAAAAACGAAGAATTACCAGGAATGAAAATTGGTGGATTAATGTTGTATCGTGATGCATTATTCTGATGATAATCGGTAGGAATATTCATTGTTACTGTTGCTCCTCCCATATTAATTGTATCACGATTTGCTACTGAATAAACAGATGAAATAAAAACGATTAGGAAGAATTGGTAAAAAATGTTTCATGAACATATATTTAGATTATGTAACTCACTATATACATGGAATGGGTGATGTTTAAAAGATTAAAGAATAATTGATGAAGGCTTGTAATTTCTCGTTGTCGGTATCCACGACTATAGTTGATTAGTCTCAGTTGGTAAAAGTGCATCTCATGCGGATTAATTAAATTTAACGTTAGTTAGTATGTGATTAGTAGTGAAATCTCGGATGTGTATTTCGTCCTATTCGGTACTCCTCAGCTGGATGCTATAACACTATATAGGGAAAATCCATCCATGTTCCGGATATGGCAACAAAGACTGAAATTAGTAGCACAGGGGATAATGCATTGGATGTTTGAAGCAAAAGGCATCAACACAATTTTATTAGCAACATAGAGACAGAGTTCTGGTGATAATTTTCTTTGTACGTTAAAGGTGCCCAGGTATCAGTTCAAGAGATTTGTCGGTTAGATATATTTTTCTTGATTCCTTCAATTAAAAAGATAGCATAAGCATTTTCGTGATTTTATAGATTGGACCGACAAACTAATAATCATTTTTACAATAAAATTGGTTTTCCAAATAAATCTCACACATTTACCATCTATAGCCCATCAACTGTGATGTCAGAAATTTGAAATAACTACTGAGCTCTAAAAGATGATCCGTTTTCAGGTTAAACGAATAAGCAGGGTTCAGAGAAGTGATTAAAAACCGATTTTTATTAACAACAAGCCATTGATGCTAAAACTTTTAAGATAAAATGAACATATGCGACACTCATTTCAATCCACTGAACAGTTCAGTTCAATCTCCTCAAATAACTTGCTTGTCTTGTTTCCACTCACAAATGATTAAGCTTCAAATGGTCGATTATTGAACAATATAGGTTACAAGCAAATGACACTCAAAAATTATCGAAATTCCATATCGAAGAAAAATCTTTACAGTCCATGTAATTTATTTACTAAATATAAGGTTAATTTCCAGTGATTTTAACACTAAATCACCCTTTCCAGTCTAATAGTTATAGTCAATGTATAGTTTAGTACGGATGTGAGCTGGTGAAAACAATTTCCATACAAGAGCAGGACGACGAGGTTAAATTAGTAAGATAAACAGTAAATGACTCGAAATGAAGGAACAAACAATGAGGATTTTTTTAGAAAAGAGGTAAGGAAAAGACATGTATGAATGAATCTTGAGAATTAAAGTACAGCGGCATCATTGTGACTAAATCTAAGCTATATCATTCACTATTCCTAGATATCAGTCCCTTGGATGTGAAGCAAGTAGTTTGCATCTATTAAAGTTGATAATCTCGTAAACTGTTAGCAAGTCCTGGTTTAATTCACTTTGACGTTCTTCCAAACTACTTCCGACAGACCTGTGCGTTGAAGCAGGTAGTAGTTGAACATACGTAACATATGTTCCAGTGACCTCGATTTGCAAAAATCCTCAGAATTATTAATCACGTTGTCGTTTCTTACCTGGTATCATACTTCCAACCCTCTCTTTGGGACTCCAACCGAGAACTACTAACCACCCAATATACAAACATACTTTATTTAAACGAGTTTTGACTAATGAATTCAAATATACACCGCAGTATTGTATCCTTACGTACCTTAATATCCTATCAATAATCTCAGAAATTTGTGAATGACACCTGATTGTCACGCTGATTATCATCAGCGTCATCGTTATTTAATCAGTGGGGTTCAACAATGTTGGGTGTGAAGCAGTTATCTACGAGTGCTATTGGAAGATATTTGTGCGATGTAGAGAATTAGTTAAATTTGGAAATCGGAACAACTAAATGTTAACCAGTGACATGAAGGTTTTAGGTTTGGTCACCGGTAGGGTTGTAGATACACACCGTCTAGGAGTCTCGTACTAAAACGAAATATCTATCCAGCACTTCAATTTGTAATGTAGACTAGACAATATGCATTTGTCATACTATCATACTGATCACTGCATAAGTTGAAAGTTCAATGTTACACTTGGATATAGATCAAACTGTCGACAGGCTTTGATTATAAACGCAAACACACACGAACAAACAACTATCCAAGTGATCTTCAATCATACAAAACTAATCAATTGATAATAAATTAATTGACAAAAAATAACCCATTCTGAAAACAGAAAACAATTTTATACCAGCGGGCAGAGATTTGTTTGTTTGTCAGTTACACAATTTTCAAAGAATGATTATAATAAGTTAGTTGACACTAAAGGAAAAATTCAAATATTCATATGATAATTACTATCACTATCATTTTTTGCGGTGACTGAAATAAAATAAAAAACAAAATTTGGTAACATTAAATGCCAATCTTTACTACATTATATACGTGGAATTCATCAACACAGAAGAAATAAAGACGAAACAGGAAGTGCCGATTCATATCTACGCAGTCATTAATTAATCATTTTCAGTGCTTTCTTTGTATCGTTTCTCTCCAAGAGTTATAGTTGTTCATTTAGGAAGTTTAAGAGAAAACTCTTATCGATTCTAAAGTGAAGAAATAATCCATTAAAATGATAATTATCCCAAATAATTAAAGACTCACATTTGTTAGGTGAGTGAATGTGAGGCCTGTTGTTGTGAACGAGAATGTGACCCAGGAGAATTCAGAATCATTTTTAATAACTACATATATTTAATCAAAAATAGCTCCAAATCATTACAACATCTCGGAATACTCAGATGTTGAATATAGATTTAATAAGGTATAAAGAGAGAAACGGCATAAGTTCCTTCAAGATTACAGATATATCGTGCTGCGACGAGTGCCAAATAGAACGAAACGATGAATAAAGTACGGTTTTCTGTCGACTAATTATCAACCATCTAATATTACTTTTCATGTGTAATTCTGTATTTCTCAATTTGTAGATACAAGAATTCAGTCGGGTTTTCACTAGATATGAATTAATTTCGAGAGTTTAAACGTCAATAATTCAATATCATGAGAAGTTATGAGCCAGTTATATTGTATCACGGTGTATTATTGACATAAATTAGTTTCCTATCCATCATTTAAACTGTACGAAGACGTACTCATCATTAATAGCACAAAAGATAAGAATTTTTACGATGATAGTTTATAACAACAGTGATCGAATGTAGTAAATGTATAGGATTGAAAAAAATAAAAAAAATGAATACACAGTGATCTCGCGTACTGTTAGACATGAGGGTAGTTAAAAATTCCCGGTCATCTACAACGTACAGGGATAACTGTTCTTGAGAGACGTGCAAAAGAAACTTGTTCATGACCTAACATCGTGACCACAGTACCAAATGGACAACTACTTGAAGCCAGTTAAACATGGTCTTTTACCATTATTTTTTAGGTGAGTTATCTCATTACTTTTATGGCCTAATTGTAGGAGACGAAAACTCGTAGAGCAACGTAAGGTGCGACATATTTAGAGTTCCTCCTTCGGTTGTCAAAATGACAGAATTGCTGTACAAACCAGTTGTCTGAAGGAAATGCCTCATTGCCGTTACACTCATATACGACTTCGCCTTCGAATCACCAGTTTTCTGATTTTCGTTTAAACGCTCTTCAACCAACCTTTCAGGAATGGCAGAAAGTGAAGGAACCAATATTCCATCCAATATAGCTCAGTTGAGTTGTCACAATATGGAAGTCTGACCATAACTTCAAGGAAGGATCAACGACAGGGTATTTTTACTTACATACGATCTTTTGTATATTGTCAAGTGTTCTATTCTGCGTGCGCAGCACAAGACAGTAATAACCATAATGATAAAGTAGGGTAATGCTATCCAGTAACCAAGTAAATGTTCGTAAACTTGCTTTCGAGCAATACATTGATGTATGTAGGAGAACTACTATTGTTGTTGCCGCCGTCCATCCAGAGAAGAGTGACCACTAAAAAGGTTTTGATCACCGAATAAATGACCCCAAGTCACATATTCTTGCCACTAATCTACCGTACTACTAAAATGGCATGACTGACAAATGAGAGAGCAATAACAGTTGTAATAATGTATAACTACCAACATGATATCTGCTGCCACTCTTTATGTATTTTTATCACTTTAGCTAAAGCAAAAATATGAGATATTTTCAGCCTTATCAATATTTTGCGAGGAAAAAATAGATGACAGGAGATAATCACATTAGAATACATGTATCAGATGTATGGAGGGTGGACAGAAAGAAAAACAGTTATAGCCATTGAAATGAGTGGAAGTGTTCCCGAATGAAGATGAATGAGTGATCATTACTGATGACTATCGAAACACATATGTAAAGTACATTTATTCCCTTAATAATTACCATTCGAATGTATATGTATTAGTGCTGAGAATTCTTTACTATAAGAACTAAACCATAAGGAATTCTGTATTACAATGTATTTAGACTATCACTCGGGAGAAATCGACCAAACTAATCTATGTAAATATAGGGAAACCATGTGGAGAATAATACAAAAACGAGACACAACTGGTTTTCACTTCGTAATAAATGATAGCTTAAGTTTATGCAGGATATTAATTAAAGACAATATCAATGACAACATGCATCAGAGAGCCTTCTATGTATTAAATATGCATGTGTATCTGAGTAATATATGTTCACTAGTGTGGGGGATAATTCCAGAAATTTGATTGAGAAGTTGCGACCAGTAGTGTTTTAGCCATGTCAGATGTGCAGTCAGTAACAACGCAGAACTTCGTACGTATGTACATCAGTTCGAGTTGCCACACCACATTAGCACAGAGATGCAGTTGTCGATTCAAACCCCGTAGTGGTAGAGGTAGCAAGAGTATAAGCAGTAATCGGGAAGATTAGGGTTTGGAGATGTTATTTAAAGAGTATAATACAGTGAAATAAATTTGGAAAGATGAAAAAACGGACATGGAGAATTCAGAAGATTAGAATTTGAGAGAACACAAAATGTGGACGCACCTGCGCCATTG